AAAAGCAAAGCAAACAAGTAAAATACCAGCGAAGAAAAATACTTTTTCATGAAATGTATTACTATAACGGCGTAGTAATAAATGATTGTTTGTACAGAGATTAACAGTAGATGAATGGAAGTGTTATTTATCTTTCTTAGAAAATATATGAGTTATACATTAGTAAACCTGTACACTTTTCAAACAAAAAATAACGGTGATATAAAAAAAAACCCGGTGCATTTATAAAATTGAAAAAACTATCAAAGTTTGTTGGCCTTGCTTAAAATTATACAATTAAAACAACGTGCGTCTACATTGTCGTCTCTCTGCAGAGAAATGTCAAGATGATTTTTTTTTTTTTTTGTTTTTTGTGTTTTTGTTTTTTTTTAAAGGATATATTATTGGAGTTGAGCAATATAATTGATTTTTTTTTTTACATTTTCACGAGTAAAGATATAAGGTAAAACAACAGAAACAAATGATTAATTCACATTATAATTAGAAAACCCTAAAAAATATTAGATATACAGTGAGTTTTCAAGAAGGTTGGAGAAGTTTTGTCCCTTTCTAATTTCCCTATGCCGCTAAGTGATGGAAGAATTTAGAGGCATTAAGTTTGAAAACAACACTTGGCACTTAGTGGCAAACACGAAGTATATATGATGAATATTTTTTTATTCCTTCACTTAATTTTCTCACAAATGATTTTTATTTGTTTGAAATCAAGATACCTAATCATATCAACTGATAAAAGCATAAACAATTACTTCTTTTAATTGAAAAAGCCGATGTTGCCGCTAAGTGCCTATAGTAACGATTTGCCGCTAAGTGTTTGGAGTCGGTTATATATATATATATATATATATACTTTATTTCAGAATTGGTTGGGAAATTACCACAAATCCAAAAGTGGACATGGTAAATTGGTTCAAAGGAAGACACTCCCAGCAGTAAGACCAACTGCTTATTCCTTATTTTGTAAGGAATACTCCAAGGGTAAGATCTGACTATTGAAATTTTAAAAAACCTTTTTTTAAACTTTTCCAATGAATTATAATTCACTTTGAAAATTATAGAATCTGGTAAATTTAATCCAGTAACCAATCAAGTTTTGATATAGTTAAGTGACAGTTCCCTTTTTTAGGTCACCTGACTCACTCAGGTGACCTATTGATATATGTTTTCATCTGTCGTCGTTCGTCGTCAATCGGTCGTATACTTTTGAACATTTTTAGCTTCTTCTCTGAAACCACTGAACCAATTTCAACCAGTTTTGGCATATAGCATCTATAGGTGAAGAGGAGTAAAAATTGTGAAATCCATGGCTCTTGCCCCCCTGGGGCCTGAGGGGTGGGGCAAAAACCACTAAAATTAATGCAATCTTTAAAAATCTTCTTCTTTGCTCCTGGACATCAAGCAGTCAAACTGTTCGCATGATTGTACATGTAAGAGGCAATGAGCCCTCTACCAAAATTGTGAAATTCATGGCCCCAGGATCAGGAGTTCCGGTGCTAGGATGGGGCTCTATTGAATTTAGTGAAAATGCATTATTTCTTAAAAAATCTTCCCCTCTGCTCGTGGGTATTAAGCCAATGAACTGTGTACATAGTTATGATGAGGAAGGGTGCCTCTTCCAAAATTGTGAATTTCATGGCCCCTGGGTCAGGGGTTCTGGTGTTAGGGCGGGGCTCTATTGATTATATAGTGGAAATGCATTAATTCTTTGAAAATCTTCTCTTCTGGTCCTGGGTTTTATGCCGATGATATAAGTACATAGTTATTATGAGGAAGGGTGCCTCTTCCAAAGTTGTTAATTTGATGGCCCCTGGGGGGTACCTGTTGGCTGGGGGCCCCTAATGATTATATTCTGAAATTTAATTAATGCTTTTAAAATCTGCTCTTTGTTATTAATCAAAGATTTATGATGAGCAAGGGTACCTTTCCCAAAATTGTGATATGTGTGTCCCCAGGGTCAGGGATTCCTGTGAGGTGGGGCACTACTGATTATATGGTGGAAATGCATTTTTTCTTTGTTCTTCTGCTCTCCCTCTTGGTATTAAGTAATCAAAGTAAGCAGGCTAAGTGTAGAGTTATGATGAGCAATGGTACTGCCTCCTTCAAAATTGTGAATTTCATGTCCTCTGGTTTAACACAAGAACCAAATTCAATTGCTACATGATACTCAGGTGACCTATAAGGCCCATGGGCCTCTTGTTTGTCAAATAATATTATTTCATTGTATCTTCATTTCCTTTTTTATAACCGGATGCCACATACATTCATACATATATTTATTAAGTTTTATTAATTTAGTAAGAAAATTATTTTACATTATTATCTTGATTACATGTATGTTCTATTTCACTTGAAAAATACTCAAATTTGTAGATCATCCTGGCTTTAATCCTTCAATATGGAAAATGGAGTGGGAGGCAGCTGGAGAGAAGGAGAAAGAGAGGTACGCAAAGATGGCGAGGGAGATGTCAGAAGAGGGGGGAAGTGTATCAACAAATGATGATCCCACTACTCAGAAGAAGACCATTAGAACCCTTCTGAAGCAACTGGAATGGACTGTAAATACCTTAGATTTTGATATTTATATATTTAGTAGAGATTTTTGATTTTTTACAATTATTCATGTTAACCTAATTATTTTTGCCTCTACTGCTGTGGATTAATAATTGATTATGAAGGACTAATATTCATGGATTTCATGAATTTAATCTTGCCTATGAATTAACATATCCACAAGGGACATCTTACAATGTATCAGTACACTACAACGAATGTTTTGTAAATATGAAATCATTATGACCCCAAAATCCAGTTAAATTTTGGTTGTCAATGTGCAACAGAGACATTTATCTGAATTGGCTTCGGATTGAATCCAGGGACTCTGGCATGCCAGTCCAGTGGGTTAACCCACTAGTCCAAGCTAGTAGGATGCCATGTACTGTATCTAATGTACACTACCACATATGAACCAACCACCACAGATTAATATGATTCCCCTTTATGATAGTTTAATCCAAGCTTGTTTTAATTATCACAATAATGTAAACAAATTAATTAATTTGTTAATATTATATTCATAAATGCATGCATGTACTAAGGTATGCATTGTTTATGTATATAAATTAAGTCACTCAAAACAAACTTATTTCCTGACTAGAAACAGACGGTATTTTTATAAAAATAGGAGGAAACTTATAGAAAAGATTTTGATTAAATGAAGTATTCAATTTTTCTCTATCAAATATTTTGGCTGGTATAATCATAATTTCAGCTAGGTAAAAATATCAGGTACTAGCAGATCTTGAAAGGCTTGTTTTATTATAACTGTCATGTTTATGATGTCATTTAATCTCCATTTTTTGTTGAAAAGAATCTGTTTTCATATTATATATCATGAAAATTATAAGTATCAGGTTTTTGCAGTCATCTTGGGACCAAAAAATGCTGATTTCTTGACTTCTATTTGAGTCTTCTTTTAGTTGAAATCATTTTGATAATGTAAAATGATCTATATTTGTAGAGTAGGTGATTGGAAAATATGGGCTTGCCCAATTTCGCTTTGGTGGCTGAAAATAATACTGTCCACAGCGTTGGAACAGGGAGGGGTTGAGAATTCCTTGATCGTGAGGATATTGAACCAAATTTCAGCCGATTTTGTAATCAAGGTTAGTAGGTCTATAAATTGATATTGGTTTATATGTCAACTTTTGTAATAATCGATAAGGATTACGTGCCATAAGGCCCCCGGTAATATGACAAAAAAATAAAATCTTAATTTTACTCTTATTCATACATGCACTTAATTGTTGATATGTGTATCATTATAAAAATACTGCATGTAGTTGAGTGTAACATTGAAAATTTTCACTCAAAGAAAACCATTGTCAACCGAGGCACAGCCGAGGTTGACAAGTTGACAATGGTTTTTTTGAGGGGTGAAAATTTTCAATGTTACACTCAGCTACATGCAGTATTTATTATATTATACTGAATGTTTTATACAAATACATATTACAGTGAACCTTGCGTGCATAAATTCTGCGCAGTCAATATTTTTTGGAATAACACCCTTCGTCAAGCAATGTTGACTGTTGCTATGCTGGAGGGCGTGGCTTCATTAATAGTGTTTTTTAACAAATGTTTCTCGATGAATCAGATTCTAATAATTTACGTGAAAGTATAATATCATGGAATACCACTTTTACCAAAAACAAACACCATATTGGTCATTACCGAATATAGTCCTTTATTTCTTTTGTTCTCCATATGCACCCCATTCCCACTTAGCCAACACACATTTACCTGTGTTTTACCTGTATTTTTTCAAAATGTTGACTAAGTGGGAAGACACCGTGAAAATGCACAATTTCTCTGACAATCCTTTTTTCTGTTTTGGTATAAGAAAACTAAATGTATAGTAATGAAAAGCATAGTGTCTCTTCTACAATAGAGATTTTTCAGGACCCTAGGGCAGGAGTTAAATAATTTTAAGGTGGGGCTCTACTGATTGTTAAGTGAAAATGCATTCTTTTAAAATATTCATTGTTTCTGGGTATTTTGTAAAAATGGTGCATGATAATGATGAGCAAGGGTGTGTCCTCCAAAATTATGAATTTCATGCTCTTGTGTGGGGGTGGGGGGTCTGGTGTTATCTCTATAGACCAGGTTTTAAAATCTAATATCTTCGTAAATTAAATTTTCTTCAAAGATTAAGAGAAGCCAATGTTAGAGGGAACAAGATGGGTGCACTAAAAGTGCTGATCGAAGCACTTTTCTTTTGTTTAGTTTGCATCATGATAGTGACAACTGGGGGTATGTTAAGAAAATTAGATAGGGCTACCTTAAATTTTGTTATGGAGTACGTACTAGACTAATTATTTTGTTGATTCCTATCATCCTCCTTCTGATATGTCCTTCTTTTGGCAACATATCTTTACCTGTTAGTTATTATTAGTCTTTACTTGTATCACAATGGATTTTTCATGGTGTTGTATTATACTTAGGTGACCATTTAACCCCTTGGGCTTTATTGTTAGAAACTTTGTCTATTTTTAAGGTACTGATGTGTCTGTGGAGGAAAGGAACCTTGTTTCCAGTGCCGTATTTGTGGAGCCGAATGGTAAAACTTTGATTTTTGAAAACTTTATTTAAAATAAAAAAATAATAAAAAAATTAATTCATTTGGAATAATCTTCTATTTCTACCACAACTATTTTTTTCCAAAAGATTCACTAATAGTTATTTAAGAGGACTGAAAAAGAATTATTAGCGTGAAGTTAACATCAATTTTTTTTTTTGTGTTCAGAGAAGAAAATTAAGAAAGAAATGAGGAAAATGACGAAACAAAAAGGGAAAAGCAAAGGTAATAAAATATAAGATTATATATATATATATAATTTATATATATATATATTTAGTTAAAGAATAAGCTCTATTAAATATTGAAGTTGTTTTTCCCGAGAGGTTTTTATTCTTGAAGAATTTTTTTTGTTTATTGGTAATCTATTGCTGGAAGCTCAAGTGAGCTTTTCTGATTACATTTTGTCTGTAGTCTGTCTGTCTATAAACTTTTCACATTTTCAACTTCTTCTCTTTAAACATTGGGCCAATTTCAACCAAACATGCTACAAAGCATCCTTGTGTGAAGGAGGTTGAAGTATGCATGTTCAAATGAAGGGCCAAGCCTTCTTTCAAGGGGAGATAATTCAGAAATAGTGCAAATTTTGTGGTATCATTTAAAAACCTTTTTATATGAAAAACAGGAGCAAAAAGGTCGAGGCTTATTTAAAACCTTCTTTACATAGTAAAAATTCAAATTCGTTTAAATCATGACCCTCAGGGGTAGGGTGGGGCCACAATTGGGGATATAAGTTTCACAGAAATTTATTAGGAAAAATCCTTAGAAAAATCTTCTCAAGAGCAGTAAAGCCAGTATTAGTTGCATCACTACATAGTGTAAATTCATATTTGGTCAAATCATGACCCCCGGGGGTAGGATGGGTCACAGTGGGGGATCAAATTTCTACATAGAAATATATATGTCATATTGAATGAAGTGAGAATATTAATATACATTCATGGTCATCACAATTTTTTTAGTTGGAAGAAACACAGTATCTTAGTCTTGCAATAGAATTATTTATACATGTAGGTACTATTGAAGCAATATTATTTTCATGCAAGTTGGTGACCATTTTCAAATTCTTTTATGGGTGTTATTTGGTTTTGATTTCACCTTAACAACAAGCAATCATGATTTATTACCCTCTTGTTGTCTCTGTCTTTAGTTCAATTAAATAAATGCAGATTTTTAAACAGGTGTCAACTAAGATTTTTTTAAACCACAAACTATCAAGTATTCTTTGGTTTTTTAATAACAAATTTGGGGCAAAAGAGATAAAAAGAAAGATAAAAAAAAAATTGTGAACTTCATTTGTTAAAGTGAACAGGAACTAATCTGACTGAACTCGAGCGTTGAAAACTTGAGAAATGTCAAACCCTAACTCTAAATCATAATGTCTGCTCATATTTTATGAGTTTTTTTTTGTATTTTAGCAAGTATGATATCCTATTATGATACCCTTCCAAGCATTTAATAAATCTGAAACTACAGTATATTGCAATTTTTTTTGAAGATTGGCACTTCTACTGAGAATAAGTTTTATATGAACCCTTTTTTTTTTGTCTTTTCTTCTCTTCAGGGTCAATCATTCTCTTCTATTTGAATACATATAAAATATCCCTTTCAAAAAAAATGTCACAAAAGGCCCATGGGCCACAGTGCTTGTTTGGGATGAATTCCTAATGAGGCGTCAAATTACAAGAGTAAACATTCTTTTTAAGGTCAAGATCTAGTAAATGAGTTTAGACTTTCTTCTTGGTGCTAGATTCATTATGACGTCATAAATGATTTAAACTTAATTTTTCCCGTACTTTACGGCTGCAATAGAATTATGTAGAAAATAAAGCACTTTCATGGAATTCAACTTGATATCATGTAAAATGTAGCCCTAATACCCTTATTCCGTTTAATATCATTTTAAAGTAGAGATCAAGAAGATATGAAAAACCGTTTTCTAAGAGACGGTAGGCAATATTGATACATTTCCTTTGCCTTAAATGGAGAAAACTCCCATGTTTATAACTGACTTTCTTCATTTTTCATTGAAAATGGGCAGTTTATAATATGTTCTTCTGATGAGTTTACCCCAAAATTATGTCTGGATACACCCTATTTTACCAAGCTATATTCGTAAAGGATCATTAAAGGAATGTGTATCTCAAATTTGAGAAATCTGTGGGCACCTTTTATTCACTAGATCTTGAGCTTAATTGTAACAAAGTAAAAAGGAAATTATTAATAAATTTATTATATAATCTTGAAAATATATTATCAAATATATCAAAAGGTTAGAAACATTAAATGTTAGAGTTAAATTTTTACCTTTACAATATTATGATAAACTTAGATAAAAATGAAGTAATCTTCTTTACCCGGCCTTTTCAATAACACAAGTAACTTCAATAAGAATTGAAGAAATTAATTAATCTGTTTACCTCTACAATATGTAATAAAAATAGATAAAATTGTAGAAATCTAATGCCTTTACTCGGTTTCAAACCTGCATGATTGTAGCTTAATTGAAACAAGGATGATTAAAGGATTTTGATATTGAACTAATATAATTGCGTTTTCTGAGAGATTATTACACCGATATTTAAAATCAGGCCTAGAGGATTGTGTTTATAGATATAGAGAGTTTTTTTTTTACTAGGAATTGATATGATATTGTGCAAGTAATGTGTAAACTGTTGTTTGCAAACTTTTTCTGCTTGAAATGAATAATAAAATGGAATTTGACATCCTTTGTCCCCACAAACTACAAACAGTTCTAAAATATGGATTTGTGGAAAGTCTTGCATTTTTATAATGCCCTCACCATAAAATGGCCAGGGGCTTATAGTGTTAACCTGTTCCGTCATTGTGTCATCAATGACTTTCCGTTCATTATCTAGGCAACAGTTGCACACATTCAACTCAAATTTTACCTATGGCTATGTAATAGGAATATGCAGGTCAAGTTCAAATTTGGCTATGGTCCAATGATTTTGACAGAGTTATCCCTTTTGAACTTAGAAAAAAATAAGAATTTGTCAGTTTCCCCTTTCAAAATTTAGAAGGGATGTATGTATAAGGTTTAAATTGCATATGCAGGTAATTTCCTAAAGAATACAGGTCAAGTTGGAATTTGGTCATGGTCCAATGATTTTTGACAGAGTTATCCAACTTCAGAAAAAAAATCTTTTGTGCAAACAAATTTAATTCATATCTCTTTAGTTTTCATATAGAATATTAATTTAATGTATCTATATTGCTACATTTCTTTATAGGTAAGGAATCAAAGGCAAAACAGAAGAAAATGGCATTTGATGGTATGTATATAAATTCACATTAACATCTTTTAAAACAATACTTTGGTGACAAGAAATTAAATAATAAATTTCATAATTGAATCTAGAAAAATACTAATATAAATCTTTCAACATACTGTACTTATATATGTATATATATACATTTGTGGTATCTCTCTATTATATAAACCTGCAGAGAACAAATATCTTCATACCTGTATGAAGTTTTTCTCAGGTCATAGGTCATTACGTGACCTATACTCACATGAAACAATAATATCTACATAAAAAGACATGTTCTGCTCAACAGTATTAGCATGCTTTTTATGTAATAGAATGTATAAAATACACAAATAAAATAATAATCCTTTACAATGTAAACAAGTAATTAATTCAGTTCTTTCATTTAATTTACATAGAGAATAGAAAACTAAGTGTTATAGTTTCATGTCAACTTCACAGTCTCAACATTTACCCTTATTTTTCTTTTAGTTAAATCCACATCATAAACTTTAAATGCTATTCTATATATTTTTTTTCATTAAACATCACCCATGATAATTCTGTTAATGTTGGAAAATATCAATGCAATGCAAACATGGCATAAAGAACTGACAAACACTTTGGTTTACAAGCACAATTCAATCATCAAGAGCATTGTCTTAACAGTGTATGCTGTTGCCAGTGTCTCTGTGTTTACATCATAATAAATACGCCTTACAGGAATCAAAGATTTACTGTTTTTGATCAAATTTTATATTTGATTTCAAGTTAACTGGCTCTGACAAGTGTCTCCATCCATCCCTTTTCAACTGAAATTAATTCCTCCAACTTTTGATTAACAAACTTCGGAGGTGTTTCTGTGACTTCAGCATCCAATATTGATTCTCACGAATTCAAAAATTTCCAGACAACAAACTGCTCACTATGGTTGATCACAAGTTGCCTATAACAAAATATTACTTTCAAAACGGAATCCTCTGTCTGATGAATTTGAAACATAACCGCTTTTCAAGCCGATTTGCACCTTGCGTAATTTTTTCAAAATCTATGATGTACAGTTAGTGCAAAATTTATACTCAATTATATTTGATTGTCCATCTCAAATGTATATATAAGTAATAAAAAATAAGTTTAAAAACTTCAATGGGAACTGAAGTGGGTCGGTACGTGATCAAATCTTCTAAGAAGGCCTATGGCCTTCACAGGATTTGATCACATGACCGACCCACTTCATTTCCCATTCAAGTTTTTAAACTTGTTATTCTTTTCTTAAATGTAATGATATATTTTTTGATGTATTTTGTAAAGAAAGGTAATACATGTTTTTAATTGCTACTTTAAATTGATAATTACAGACAATGAACCAGGATTCTACTATGTAGATGAAATATTAAGTGAAAGGAAGAAAAATGGAAAATCAGAATTTCTTATTAAGTGGGAAGGATATGAAGATCCCATGTGGGAACCAGAGAGAAACATCCCCACACATCTTATTGAGGAGTTTAAGAATGTCTGAAAATTTAATAATTATTGTGTCTGGGAATGTGAATAAATTATTAGTAAGGATGGCAATTGTAAATTTTTTTTGTAATCAGTTAGTTGTAGATTTTTTTGACAGAGTAACCAGTTAATGGAACAGATAAGACTTGTTTAGAACTTTATTTTGAAATATTGTATTTTATTATGAGTTTTAATGCTTTTTAACTGCTTAAATTGAAAGTTGTGGGAATTTGCGGGGGGGGGGGGGTGCATACATATCAACCTCCAACTAATTTTTTCTGATCATTGAATGCAAAAAAGTGATAAAGTGCAAATTTTATTAGTCTTCTGTTTTTGTACTATTTGTTGTTAAATTTTACTGCCCCATCTTCCCTTAATTAAAACATTGCCAAGATAGCAATAGTGATGGCAATTTGCTAACATAGATACTTGATTTTAGGGATGTAAAAAAATTCCTTGTAAAACGTTGCTGAGTAGAAAATTTATTTTTAATTTATGCTAATAAGAACTGAAAGATTTTTTTTTTCACACAGGGTACTCAAATTTTAATTAGTATTAATAGGGATATGATTATGAATTATGGAGACTTTCTGAGATGGCAGTTTGCCTTGTAAATCATTTAATGATTGATTTTAGCATTTGAGATTGAAACACTCCTCCTAGAAATAATGTTCAAGAAATAAATATTATTGATGTTTTAAAAGTACAAACATGGTGTATACTGCAAAAAATGGTGAACTTGTTATGGAAATTGTTTTTGTTTTGTTTTGTTTTTTTCCCCAACTAGAGTAGATAGCTACAGTGTAATTACATAAAGGATAATTAATCTTAATGTTAAACAATAACAAAAGTATTTTACATAAATTTTTATTACTTAGCAAGAGGCCTAAATGCACATGTGTACCTATAATTCTAAAGAGCTACTTTAATTAACCAAATTTACCATTGATTGTGAATTGTGATGAAAAAAGGTGTATACTTGGAGATGATTTTAATTTCATCCCTATACCACATTCAACGTACTAGCTGTAGCAATAAAGAGCCGAGAATACTCCATGTTTTATCATTGTCATACATGTAGAATATCTCATTCTAGTATTTACTACATTGGTGGTGTTTTACAGTTAAAATGCATTTATTAGTGCACAACAGTGGACAACTTTCAAAGTATATGTCATTGTTGATTAATTTTATGTAATGCGTTTGCATTGTAAAATTTAGCTGATTTATTGTCCTTCGTGTTACTATGTTTAATGCTGATTCATTGTCCTTTGAGTTCCTGTGTTTAATTCATTGTCATTTTACGTGTTACTTCTTTTAATTATGAAACTATACATTTCAACTTGATGTGGGGAACTAATTAATTGTATGTGCAGTTCCTTTTTATGTCTCATACCAAATATGTATGTTTCTTCTTTTTATTTGTGTTTGTTTGCTATATATGTATATGTAAATTTTAATTGTGCTATAAGTGTTATGTTACCAGTTTGTTAAAGAGCTTTAAGCTATTGTTTTTTTGTAAAATGTATATAATTTGACTATAAATAAAATTTACTACTACTACAAATATTGGTCATTCTTGTTAAACTGAAGTCAGTAAATATTGTTTTAAACATAACCTTATTTACTTGCTTTAATTTTTATGGCAAAGAGATGTTGATCTTGAACATAGATCTTTTACTTCATAAAAAAAAATATGGAAATGGATGAAGAAAACCATTAATTCTACACTAGTTTTGAAATACCCTGTTGCTGAACATTTATTATTTTGGGTGAAATAAGTCCTGGTATTGAGAGAGAAAGGGATCTTTTCTATTTATTCTGTATCATTACGTTTTCATAGTCAATCATGCTAAATGACTTCAGACTCCCATTCCTTTGCAAAACCCCAGAAATATGGCTCAATAATTGAAATAAAATCTTTGTTCTCTGATGAGTTAAAAGATTTCCCTTGTTATGCATGGAAATAAGTATAAAGCAGATATTTCTTTAAAATAAATCATTTGGGGAAAAAAAGAAAAAAAATGTAACAGCACATACTCTTCCAATTTTTTGGACTTCACTGACTTATTTCAACCGTTCAATGGGCATTACAGGTAATTAAAATGTTCATTCTTAACCACCATTGTTAATTTGCTTTTTTTTTTATCTTTATGCGGCTGCATTGCTCTTTTCGTGCAAATTAAGTTCATGGGCATGATTTTCTGAACTATGTAGTGCAAAAAGTTCATTTTAGCCGCATTTGGTCAATGTTTTATTTTTATGCGGCTTAATATGCTCGTTTCCTGCTATTCATGGAACATGAGTATAACAGTCTCAATTATTTTATGAAAAAGTTTATTTTAAGCGGCATAAGGCCAATATTTTATTTTAATGGGACTGTTTTGCTCATTTCATGCTATTCATGGGCAATGGCATACTATTCACAAATATTTTTTTTAAAAACTGTTCATTTTCATCCGCACTTTGTCCAAATATAAAGTAAATGCGGCGGAATTTGCGTATTTTATGAAAATAATGTTTATATGCAGAATGTACTAAAATATTTTGTGAAAAAGTTTATTTTCAACCGCAATAGGCAAAAATTTTACTTTTATGCGGCTGCATTTGCTGAATTCATGCCAATTAGGGTTCATGGGCGTGATATTCCAACTGTTTTATGAAAAAGATCAATTTCAGCCGCATGTGACCAAAATTTTATATTTATGCGGCTGCATTTGCTTATTTCGTGTTATTCATGGTACAATGGCATAATATTCACAACTATTTCACACAAATGTTCATTTCCATCCGCACAAAGTACAATATATATCAAATGCGGTGAAATTTGTGTATTTTGTGAAAATAATGTTTATGTGCATAATACTCTTAACTATATTTTGTGAAAAAGTTTATTTTCAACCGCAATAGGCCAAAATTTTACTTTTATGCGGCTGCATTTGCTTAATTCATGCCAATTAGGGTTCATGGGCATGATATTCCAACTGTTTTATGAAAAAGATCAATTTCAGCCGCATGTGACCAAAATTTTATATTTATGCGGCTGCATTTGCTTATTTCGTGTTATTCATGGTACAATGGCATAATATTCACAACTATTTCACACAAATGTTCATTTCCATCCGCACAAAGTACAATATATATCAAATGCGGTGAAATTTGTGTATTTTGTGAAAATAATGTTTATGTGCATAATATTCTTAACTATATTTCGTGGAAAAGTTTATTTTCAACCGCAATAGGCCAATATTTCACTTTTATGCGGCTGCATTTGCTTAATTCATGCCAATTAGGGTTCATGGGCATGATATTCCTACTGTTTTATGAAAAAGATCAATTTTCAGCCGCATGTGACCAAAATTTTATATTTATGCGGCTGCATTTGCTTATTTCGTGTTATTCATGGTACAATGGCATAATATTCACAACTATTTCACACAAATGTTCATTTCCATCCGCACAAAGTACAAATATATATCAAATGCTGCGAAATTTGTGTATTTTGTGAAAATAATGTTTATGTGCATAATACTCTTAACTATATTTTGTGAAAAAGTTTATTTTCAACCGCAATAGGCCAAAATTTTACTTTTATGCGGCTGCATTTGCTTAATTCATGCCAATTAGGGTTCATGGGCATGATATTCCAACTGTTTTATGAAAAAGATCAATTTCAGCCGCATGTGACCAAAATTTTATATTTATGCGGCTGCATTTGCTTATTTCGTGTTATTCATGGTACAATGGCATAATATTCACAACTATTTCACACAAATGTTCATTTTCATCCGCACACAGTACAAATATATATTATATTATTTTTTATTAGTTGGAGCTGTTGCTTTCATATTTTACATATTTATTCCTTGTGACAAGGCCTTTTTTTGAGTTTTACCTACTTTTGCAAGAATTTGCCAAACTTTAACCTTGGCCATAACTTTTGAACAGTTAGTGCTAGGGCTTTCATACTGGACCTTTTATACTTCACATGTGTAGTTATTGTGACAAGACCTTTCCATGGAAAATTTTGACCTTTAGTTCGACCCTCTTTTATAAAACTTTTAATCTTGAGCCTTCATATTTCACATGTGTGTTCCTTATGATATGGCCTTCCTTTGTACACCAACTTTGACCTTTGGCATACTTTTGAAAACTTTAACCTTGGCCATAAATTTTGAGCAGTTGGTGCTAGGGATATTATATTTCTCATGTATATTTTTAATGACAAAGCCTTCTCCTGGGTACCTTTAATTTGATCCTTGGACCTTTGACCTTGGCAATTGATCTGCATTTAAAAAAAAAAAAAACTTTAATCTTGTCTAAAACTTTTTAATGGTCAGTGCTTGGGTTTTCTTATTTCACAGTTATCTTTATTGAGACAAGTCCTTTCTTTGGGTAACAACAATTTTCTTGACCTTGGAGTTGACTTGCATTTGAGAAACTTTTACCTTCGCCAAAAGCTGCCATACGAGGGCATCATTAATTACTGGACACTGTAATAATATTTATTTTGCTTTTGGATATATATATATTTATATTTACAAAACAAATCAACCACACATTAAACTTCAAATCAGTAAACAATGAGAGTACTGATTATTAATAATAAAACAAATATTCATAAGAATGACCGTGTAATGGAGTATTTAAACCACAACAATTCAAAAGTTTCAATTTATGTCTACAATATTCAAAATATTAAATTAATATCTAATTTTCTAACCACTCTATGTATTTCCACTGAAAGGTCAAAATTGTTCATTAGTGGCAGTTTCTGAACATTATATCAATTTAATTCTGAACAAATCAAAAAGGTGAAGTGAAAAGTAGGCCTATAACCTACTGCAATCTAAAACTTTTTAAAATAGTCTAATAACATCCTCTTTTCCTTCCCAGTGGCAAATGGTATAATAACATTAATTTTCATGTTCAAGTTCAATTTATTCTCTCAAACCAATTATTGGTACATGAGGTTCTATGTACAATATATACAAAAAAATATACAAGATACAGGTGAAATGACGGAAACACATGTCAATATTGCAATTGATGTTGAATAATGGCTTAGATTAATCATTAACCAATCAGTGTACATGAATGAATCTAACATACGTAAGCCTCCACAGAAGTTTTGTTTAAATACCTTTTAAATATTTAAAAAAGATACAAAATCTATTGATGAAATGCAATTCTTTTTAGTATTTGAAAGCCAAAGAATGT